AGTGTTCAAGGGTGACTCCTGACTCCCCGAGTTTAACTCTCATCTAAGCCGTGGAAGTAACGCCTCAGAGACCAAGCCTGTACTGCTCAGCCTGAGGCCGGAGGCTGGGCCCACCCAGAGGCCTCCTGGAAGAGAGACTTGGTGGTCCACCTCGAACAGTCCACAGCCGCAGAGCAGCTCAATGCACACAAGGGGGTTGCCCTGAGTCAAAAACCACTCAACACACCTGGTTTTGGGCTTGGGCTTTTTGGGTGGTGCAAACAATTAAGCCCTTGACTACTATCCTAAAGCCAGCTGTCCAAACCCACCCAGAGGCAGCATCTGCTTCTAACAGGTCCCAGCCAGAAACCCGATGCAATAGTTCACACTGCACAGGCAGGGTGGGTTGCCACCAACACTGGGCCTTCACCTGGGTCTCCCCTCCCTGAGCCATCCTCCATGGCTCTCCCGGGCATGCCCGCCCACCCCTTTCCTCAACCCCCACCAGCACTTGACCATCCTCATGTGAACTGACCACGTAGCTGCCTTCACATGACAAGCTCCTGCTCACCCACGAGGCCCTCCCACGCAGCTCCAGTACCCAGAAACTCGACCAAGCTGTGAGCCGCCGGAGGATAAGCATGGCGAATTCGAACACAGAGGCTTGTCCGTGCTGTCTCGCAGAGCGGCCACGCCACCTCCCAGTCCAGAGAGGCCCCTGGACCGCAGGCGGCTCCGTGAACAGGGGCCTCCACGTGCCCTTTGGACTGGGAGGCGCCAGCGTCCTTGCAGGCGGAGGGGGCAGCTCGGCCACCTTACTCTCATGACACATGATCCCACGGCATTCTTGGCCCCCTGGGTTCTGCATGTCTGGTGTCACATGTACCATGTTCCCAGCAGCAACCCCCCTTCCAAAAATCAGCCCGCCCCCCTGCCCAGGAGCTATGGCGGGCATGAGGGGTCCGCCCAGGGTGGGATTCAGCAAGCGCCAGCAGCAGAGACGCCTTGAAGCCAGGGTGCACAGAACCCAGGTCTAGGATCAGACTGTCTATGTTCAGCCCCAGCTCCGGCCAAGCACATCGCCTGTCCATGGGCTGGCCTGGCCCCTCCTCCCGAGCCGGAGGGTCAGCAGCACCAGTGCTGCGGGGATGGCCCAGAGCGTGCCGCCTGACATGTGGCAGGAGCTCAGGGTCTCAGGCCCCAAGCAGAGGCTCATGTGCTGGGGGTGGGGGGTTGGGGGGTCGGTAAGCCCCGACCTCCAGGCGCCCGTGGGGAACCAACACCATGTGGCCCAAGTTCTGAACCACAGTGCCTGCCCATCCACCCCCCACTGCTGGCTTCAGGTACAGATAGACATATATGTGAGCAGACAAACGGCTCTAAACCTTCCCTCCATTCTGGGTGAGGAAATCAGTTCGTCCCTCAAATCACAGTCACCTCTCCTGCCTCTAAGTGAACTTCCTGTATGGAACCCTGAAACCCTGTATCCTTGGCTTGTTGACATGTGGCTACCAGGGCCGTGTCAGAAATGATAGCACACTTGCTCTCCCCTCTCCACTTCGGGGCCCAGGGAGGACGGGGTGCTCCCCTCTCCGCCCTGGGATGAGAGGGACAAGAGCCATGGAGTTAAACACAAGCCCACGGGCCCACTCCTGCCCAGACCCCAGGTGGTCATCTGTGTGGCGCGGAGGGCCACACATGTGCAGCGTGGGCAACTGTCCCCCCACATGGCCCCCACAGCTACTGCACTTTCTAACTTAACGTGCGCTGTGCCTCGCTGCAGTGCGGTCTGGAATGGAGCTCGCAATCCTGCGCCCACAGCGTGGGAAAGCCATCGTCGTTCATCCATGCCTCACACAGGAACAAAGAGTGCACACACGCCGCCAAGTGCAAAGGATACGCCATTCCACGGATGCGCTTGATTTTCCCGGGGTCCGTGAGGAGAATGGGCTTCAGGACTCTCCTGATGGGGCAGGAGAAGAGCACTTCGCCGCCGCCTCCGGGGGGCATCCCTCGCCGCACAATCTGTGTGGGGCAGGGGAATGGGAGTTGAGGGCCAGGCAGAGCAGTGGCCCCACACACCAAGGAGCAGCCCCCAACCAGCCGGGACTTGTCCCCATTCTCAGGTGGATGCCTTCTGGGAAGGGCACACCCGAGGTTTGTCAAGGAGGATGGGGCAGAAGACACAGCCCACACATCTGCGCCCAGGTCCTGGGCCTGCCATTTCTGGAAGGGCCCTGCCTCCTCATCCTCAGAAGTACAGACAGGCCTGCCTCTGAGTGGAGCCATTTCTGGACACTCAGAAGCCCCTTTGGTCCCCGGTGTAGACGAGCAACCATCAGGGCAGCATCGCTACATACAAATGAAGCGCTTCCCTGTGTACAGCCATGAACTGAGGCAGCAGATGCTACCAGATGGTTTCCACAGCAGATGGATGCGAACTTACTCCTCCCAGGCCTGGAAGCCCTGAGGCTCCTCTCAGCATCCTGGCTGGGCGCCCCTGGGTGTGAACCAATTGGATCTCCTGCAGCGAGCTGGCACAGCCAGGATCCTTCCTGCCTGTTAGCTCCAGGACACTGGCAGGTCAAGAAGGGTGAACTGTTCAGGCCAGGCAGGGGCCACCAAGGAAGATGCCTAAGCTAACTGCTGGCCACTGCCGCCTTCCTAAGGGCTCCAGCTGCTCCAGTCCACAGTGCTGGTTCCTCAGTCTTACGGGCCTTCTCATACGAGGGGGCTCCACAATGCTTGTGGAAAAAACCGAATTCAAGACCGTGGAGTTTTGCCACAGTTTGAAGCCCCCTCACACAAGGGGACCTTGAATGTCACACACACATACCCGAGTCCCTACGAAAAGACTGTACGCAGGCGTTCAGCCAAAGTTCCCATGTCTTACCTTCAGCTCCAAGGATTCGCCATCGATCCCAAACTGTTTCAGGAGAGGGATGGCTGTTGCCTTAAGAACATCAACCTATGAGGTTATTCAGGGGGTAAAAGAGTTTAATTAGAGTGTGGAGTTGCTGTGGGCCGGCCCCCAACGGGGCATGCCCACGAATGACGGAGCCCAATGCTGCCTGGCCTGGCGTGAGTCTCAGGATCCGCTGGGTCTGCACTAGCTGACCTTCAGCATCAAGGCACCAGCCCTCTCCTCCCAGTCTGGAAGCTCGGGTGGAACCTACACAGCACCACACGCCGCCCCCGAGTGAGGGCTGCGCGGTGCTGGTTGGGAGTGAGCCCCCTCTCCCACGCCTGCTCCTCCACCCCTGGAAGAGGAGGGAAGAAGAGAGAGTCCAGGTCGGGGCTCTGCCAGCAGCTCCAAGAGGCTGTCTGGTCAAGGAAAAGGCCACTGGGTCCCACAGGGCCTCAGTCCAGGCCTGCCCGGAAATCCGTGGCTTTACAGGTCACTTGGCTTCTGCGTCCCCACCCTCGTTTATGACACGGAGCCCTCACCCACCACACGGTCAGCCAGGGCACGAGGGGTTTCACACAAAATCCTGGGATCACCCTGAGTGTCAGTGGGGGCCTCGGTGCTCTGAGTACAACCATCGGGGGCGGGGGGTGTGAACCGAGACGACGACTCTCAGTCAGGCCTGGGTCTGCACCTGTCCCCCGTGCCCATCACTGCACAACAGGCCAAAAGGGGGGAGGCCCCACAAGGGAGGTACACTCCCCAGATCCCCAGCCATTCAAGACCCGGGGTCAGCATGACACGTGGGTGGTGACAAGCGACGGGGAAGTGAGATCAATCAGGGCATGAAGGGAAGAAGGAACGCGTCTGGGGGTGGCGGCCAGAGATAAGACCCGAGTGAAGCCAGCCCCCGCCTGGGCACTCACCGAGGGGTCCACCTGGTCGTTGGTCACGCCCCGCAGCACCACTAGGAGCGGCCGCTTCATGAAGGGTGCCAGGCAGAGCAGGGCCTCCAGGTAGTAGCCGATGCCACGCAGGACGCTGCAGTCATGCTCCAGGGAGCCGCCGTGCAGGAGGCCGGGCTGGTAGTACAAGGTCGTGCCTGTGGCGGGGGACACAGCCACACGCCACTCAGCAAGAGGAGCTACGTGCCCAAAGGCCATGGAGCCTGTGACCCCAGGGCGGACCAGCAAGGACAGCCAAGAGCGCTTGAAATGGCGTTCCCAGGAGCCCACACCTCACTCCCAAGGCTGACTCACTGCTGCCGAAGCTGTCACAATAGTAAACCGTGAGCACACGTCATGGCCCACCCCAAGCCATCTGAGCTGTCGGTGTCAGGGCAGTGCCGCCCTGGTTCCCCTGCCCCCACCCCAGGGGACACTCCCAGACCCTGCCGAGTGGGAGGGAGGGCTTTAATAAGTCACGGGCGCCCCGGTGATGGCCGAGGGTACTGGGCAGCTAACCAAGAGGTCAGCAGTTAGAAAGCACCAGCCACTTCTCCAGTGAAGGATGAGGCAAGCTGTGCCCACAAAGGTTCACAACCTCAGACAGCCTACGGGGCAGTCCTGCAGGTCAGGAGGAATCAGGCGGAGTTGGCAGCGGTGGAAAGAGGAAAGCCAGGCAGGCAGGGCAGTGGTTGAGCCAAGTCATCACCCTCCTTCATGGAGGGATCCCAGTGACACAGGGGTCAAGTGTATGGCTGCGAACCAATGAGGCCAGCAGTTCGATCCCACCAGCCACCCCACAAGGGACCGAGCGGACGGTCTGTTTCGGGAACGATGTCAGCCTTGAGAACCCTATGGGGTAACTGTACTCTGGGCTGTCGGGCTGCTACGAGTCGTGCCTTCTGTGGGTTTCTCAACAGAGGGCCATGCGGCCCTCACCACTGTCTGCTCTGGCTCGTCCTGCCACAGCTGGCTTGCCTGACACATCAGATAGCAGCTCTCAAGCAGCAGCTTCAGAGACGGGTCTGCTATTTAAGGAGCCCGGTCCGTCTGGTTTTAGATCTTTGTGCTGGGAGCAAGAAGTCTCCCTGAAATTTAAAACTCAGGAAGAGCCAACACCCACAGCCAGCTTGGCCCACGTGGTTAGGGACCTGTCTGGGCCCAAGTCAGCACCACCAGCCCTGTGGGGAGTGCAGGCCCCAGCCCCTAAAACAATATTCTAATACTGGCAAACAGAAATATCTAAATCGAGAGCTTCCGCAGCTGTAGTGGAAACTGTTCATAGCTTCATTTACTTTCCACATAAGAACCTAGGTAAAAAGAACTAAGTCAAAAGTATTTCTACAGAAACCTATCTTATGAGCCACAAACAGCAAGGGGTGCAGTTATTTCCTGGCAAGCCCACCCCCGTCCCTCTGACCCTCCTCTGGAGAAGGCGGCACACTGTGATTGGCACCACGTGAACATGGCAGCATGGCAGCCTCGGGGGACTCAGGTCATGTTCCTTGGAAACACCCTTGGAGTGCAGGGAACAAAAGGAAGCCAGGCCGGGAGGCGAGCTCAGGGCTGCAGGGTCCATGTGGTAAACTGTCCCCAGCACTTGCGTTCCCGTGGCTAACCCTCAAAGGCACACTGCTGTGACACAAACAACCTTCCCGGCCTTCTCCTCAACAGGCCGGTGCTCCACTCTCTCACGTCTTCCCACTCAAACCCCGTGCTGGTCCTGCATCCTTGAGGAAAAATACACCAACGTGATCCCTGTTTGGGAATTTAAAAATGCATCTGAGGCAGGCTTCTCAGAGACCTGTGTTGAATTCAGGTGGCCTAGGGGCTCCCACTGGAAGCCACTGTTTGGGCTGGACCATTCTTTGAAGACAGCCTAGGAGGCCAAGAGAGCGGGCTGCTGAGAGACCGTGTCTGCAGCCATCCACTGGCCCCAGGCACACCCTTGACCATGTTCTTCTGGTTGCAATCAGTGGCTGGTGGTTTTGAACCGCTGACCTTGTGGTTAGCAGCCCTACAGGTAAGTGACTAGGCCACCAGGGTGTCAAAGGAAAGGAGTAGTTGAATAGAGGATCTACCCAGTGGAGCGCTCCTGAGGCCGGGCTGCATGAGGCAGGAGGCACGAGCCAGCGGGACTCTCTGAGGCCCGTGTGCTGGTGGAAGACGCTGCCGGGACAGCTGAAGAGCGTGCTCCTGCTCACGCAGACCTGGCAATCCTAGCCAACAGGAGTACACCCCAGGCTGTGGGGGTGGCCAGCCTCGGGAAAGGGGAGTTAAAGAAAGAAGAGCTGAAAGGGGTGCCCCATTTGTGTTCTGCATGTCCTTTTGCAAAGCTGTGTCACAAAGAAAAAGTCAGCAGATGGAACCAGCCGCTTCGCAGATCACTGTTAAGACTGTAAGGAGCTCCTCCAAGTAGATGGGTTTGGAAAGCGGCAGGTAAATGCTGCTGCTGCTGAGCACCATCGAGTGGGTACAAGAGAAGGGAGCACTGCCCGGTCCTGTGCCATCCTCACCATGTCCTTAACAGATGCCTGGTTAGTCCATCTTGCCGAAGGTGGTCCTCTGTATCGCTGCCCGCCACCTCACCAAGCGCGAGGTCCTTCTCCAAATGGTGGGCCTATTTGTATTGCTCAGAAAAGGGGTTTCCGAAAGTTCTCCTGGTGTTCTAGCTTCCTTCAAGGGAGTGTACCCCTCTTCAGATGGGGGTTTCTCAGACATCTCTAAGCAGCTGTATCACAGATGAGAGGCTGAGCATTCCCAGCAGAACGCATTCAGATACGTGCATACCCAGGCTCATCGCTGCGCTATTCACGGTAGCAGGAAGACGGGAAAACTGTCATTAAACACCCACCCGGTGGAGGAGTGGATGAATAAACTGTGGCACACACACACAACGGCAGGCGCCACTGTATTCAAGGACCGTGGTGCGGAGCTGCGAAACACCTCCTAACAGGGATGCACCTGCAGGATACGGTGTGGGTGAAATTTGCCAATCAGAAGATAATAAATATTGTACAAGACCTGCATTTTAAAGTCGAGAAAAGATGTTCATACTGAAAAACATTCTTTGGTGGCTAGCAGGGGCAGAAGGGAAGGCAGGGAGGGGAAGTCACAAGTTAGAGGGTGGACAAGGGTTAACGTGGGTGAAGGGGAAGATAATATACAGTAAGGAGGAGGTTAGCAAAAAACGATGGCGGTGGGGCAAGACCCGGGCTAAGAGCGACCGAGGCAAATGCTGTTCCCGACCCACCCCTACAACAGTAGGGGCCTGGACAGAAACACAGCTGAAGAGGGGAGGAGACCAGCGCACACCGCGACATACACAGATTTGACAGAGGATTTGTTGACGTGTGTTCACCTTGGCTGCAAAGACACCCATGGATGCGGTAGAGCAAACAGCAGAGACATAGCTCACATGTTCAGGGCATGAGTCCTGGGCCTGGGAACTCAAAATAATAGTATCAGCGGGGCACGAAGGCCTGGCCAAACAGAGTTCACAAAGACCTGACCTCTTAAAAGCTGTAAGCAGCCATGGGTCTCTCCCCGTCCAGAGGAACAAATGATGAGGTGAAAGTCAAAGACGCGTGGAAACAAAGCCTCTGTCAAATCTGTGTCGTCTACATCACCGTGAAATCAGAAGAACTGGATGGTGCCCAGCCACTACAACCAGCAGCTCTGGAAAGGATCACAGGAGGTCTAGAGAGAACAGACCTGGAACTTGGAAGTGACCAGGTGCCATGGTCACAGACTGGTAAGACTAGGTCCCTTACCCTTCAGGTCTGGAAGTTCAACCACTGCAGAGCAAAAGGGCACTGTACAGAGGGTTAGGACAGAGGGATGGACACAGGCAGCACAGGGCAGAAGTGGAGGAATGAGGCTACAGGAAGTACCAAGGGGCCAGCAATGGCTGAATAAAAACAACGTGTGTCTAAACCGTCGAATGGAAAACTGATGACCTGCTCTGTAATCTTCCCATAAATCCCAATACAAGTTTTACAGACAACCTGTACATAAAGAAGAGGGTAAAGTGAGGTGCGCAGGAAGGCTGAAGCACAGGCCAGAAAGGTGCTTCCAGGAACGTTGGGAGAAGGAACGTACCTGTTTGGTTTATTTCGATTCGAGAACCGTTGGTTATCTTGTCCAACAGCCGGATGAAGCTGGCTTCGAAATCTGCGAGGAGAGGAGAGAGGAGATTGGGCTCAAACTGCTCACCACTCCCGGGAGACATCGGGAGGGTGCGTCAACCTCCCGCCTCCCGCCCAGCTTTCCCGAGGGGCCTAGCTGCCGTCACTAGGAAGGCTTTTAGAGACAGTTCAATGTCACCATTCCACAGAGAACCAGCAACGTCACCAGCAACCAGCCGCCACTGAACGGACGAACCCTACGAGGGCAGCCTCACTACGTGGACGGAAGCTGTGATCCAGGGGGTTCCAGCATCTGTCCTGCTGGTCACCAGAAAATCGGTGGTTTGGATCCACCAGCCACTCAGAAAGGACCCAGTCCATGTCTTTGTGGCAAGGAGGAACTGGCCCCATAGCACAGGGTGGCTCAGCGGCCCAAGCAGACCTTACTGGGTTTTGTTTCTGCGGCTCACTCGAACACCTCCAACACCTTGCTAGATTGTTGGTCCAGTTCTGGGTGAACTCGGCTGCTGACTGACTAGTGGGATCCGAGTCCAGCCGGAGGTGCCTTGGGAGAAAGGCCTGGTGACCCTCCCCCTGCACTCCCCCCCAAGCCAGACATTGGCTGGTGGATTTGAACTACTGATCTTTTGGTGCTTCACCGTTGCACCACCCGGGCTCCCATGGCCTCTGGTGGGTGTGCCACACAGGAAGAAATGGCACAAAGCTGGAAGACGGGTTAGAGCCAAAATCATGCTCCCATCTGAATTCCCGATGGAGGGTCACTCCAGCCTCAGAGATAAGAGCCCTCGCCCCCTCCCTTCTGCCACCACTCTGACCTTCGGCTGCGGAACAGCTCCGCCTTGACCCCACTAAGAAGGCCCATGAGTGTGCAGAATTATCACCAGAAGAAACAGCTGGGAGAAAGCACTTCAAATGCCCACACACGGCCTGTCCCCTGGGGGCACCTTCTCTCTCTCTCTCTCTCTCTCTCTCTCTCTCTCTCTCTCTCTCTCTCTCTCTGTGTGTGTGTGTGTGTGCTGCCTCCTACCTCCTGTGGGTTATGCCAGTGGTACAAAGAGATTGGCCAGAGGTCTTGCGAAGATAAATCCTGGTGACTCACTGCTGCTGCATGTCGAACACCTCCTGCTGCATTTCCAAACTTCTGTGACCTACTGTGGCCCCCCCCCCCTTCCCACCCACCACCAGCTCAGAAAAATAACTACTCAGGGCCCCACTGGCATGGGTAACTTCTGCACTATAGCCCATCGTTCAGGATAAAGTATGGGGATCTGCTTCTGCAGCTCCCTCTGATTATCCCAGCCCTGTGTATTCCCCAACCCCCACCCCCGGGGCCGGACTGTCCACCGTGGGAAACAGTGGAAGCCAGAGGGGCCGCTCATTGCTCCGGGCAGTCCAAGTGGCAGGGCCAGGACTGGAGCCCACACCTGTCCTCTGACCCACTGCGCCACACTACGCCCACTCAGCCTCAGCTCCCTTTACGCCCTCCAGCCGACTTCTTCTCCCTGGACGACCAGATCCCTTCTCAGCAGCACCACTCACCTGCCTTCCTAAGGGTAGGAACCCCACCCCCACAGTCCCCTTTAATGACCTCACACAGAAGACAGGGCGCTGCCCATGCTCTGGACCAGTCTCACCCATCTGTTGATATCCCCAGTTATAGCGAGAATCCCGAGTTATGGGTCCTGCAAGCAGCCCACAGAAGCCGAGCTATGGGGGAAACTAAAAATGCCTCCCAGGGCTTTCTGATGCACAACAGTCCGTGGTAAAAACAAGGCTCCACAAGAAGGTAGCTCAATGGACACGCACCTTGTACATTCTGCTCGTGAAAGGACCGCTCTGAGATCACAGTGGAAACAACTCCAAAGCTGGGAGAGCAGCCACAGGACACGTGAGTGCAGTCCCGAGGGAGTTTAACTCGGGAAAGCAGGGGAGAGTGATTACACACCTGGAACAGGCCCTGGTGCCAATGAACTGTAGGTATGTGGACAAACTGCTGAATTGACAAAAATGTTCTGGGGCAGAGTCTCAACAACAAAACAATTTCTTAAAATTTTAAATCTCTTGTCATAACACTTCACTTTATGGCAAATGCAACAAAACTCACAATTTGTTCACACTTTGCCAGGTGTTTAAGATAAGGTGACCAGACGTCCCGCTTTTGGCTGGACAGTCCCGATTTTTAATAATTTTTCCCACGTTCCATGGCGTTTTTAAGAAGTCCCGATTTTTTGAAAGAATGCATGACAAGCTAGGGTATATGGTTTTCGGCTGCCATATGGCTATTTCACCAGGATATGAGTTTTATCAATGGTGTCCCAATTAACCAATGTTAAAATCTGGTCACCTTAGTTTAAGAGAGAGAAATGAGGCCTTGAAAATACAGCCCCACGTTAAACTCAGCAACTGTCACACACTAAGACTTCAGGTGGCGGCTGTGAGTCACAGGTGTCTCGGGAGCAGTCTGTCCAAGTGGATACACAGCCAGCGCCAGAGTCCTGGCAACAGTGCAACAAGAGCGCCATCACCTGGTACTAAAGAGCCGGGTTCACCTCCACACTGTGCCCTATGAACTGGGTCTGATCCTGCGCCCCAACAGCTGTGCTGTGAACCCTACCCTCACAGGTTCTGTTTGTTAAATAAAACAGGATTTGCACACAGCGTATCTTGAGTCAATCTGTTCTGATACATGATCACCCAGGAGCAAGCAGCTCAAGAGATAAAGACCGTCTTCCAGAGTCCCCAGGGGCAGCAGCCTTTCCCAAGAGTTGGAATCCGAAATGTGAGTGTCTAGTCTCCCATCTCTGAAACACAATATGTCCCCACCCCTCCTTGGGATTCCTCCTCTTCAAGACTGATCCCGCAGCACGAAAGCCTCGGAGGACAGACAGCCACAAAGCTCTTTCAGCAGCGAAGATACCAAAAGCCTTGTGCTTTGGGCTTGTTACCAGAAGAGACCAGTCCACGAAGAAGGGATCATGCTGCATTGGGAAGAAGTAGGGCACTGGCAAAAAGAGTAATGCCATCAAAGAAATGGACTGACAGTGATTATCAAATGGGAGCCGACATGGGAAAGATTGTGAGGATGGCGTACAACCAGACAGGGTTTTGTTCCGTTACACACAGGTGAGCTACTAGTCAGAAGCGATTCAACAACGAAGTGCCCAGAGGCTCTCCACTCCACAAGCCAGCCCTCTGTACAAAAGCACTCAGCTTAACTTGGGCAGTCCACCCTCTGCCCTTGCGCTGGCCCCTGGTTCTGCGGCTGCTCCTCTGATGGCACAGCTGTCGTCTGGAGGCAGGAGGCTCCCTGCACAGGGCACTCACTCAGTCGGGCCCAGAGGACAAGCTCCTCCAGCTTTGTCCACAGCAGGACGGCACGCCAGGGAATCCGGATCACCACTGCTCCCAGGTGACTGAATCCTGTGCGTGTCAGTAGCTCCCTAAACGTCTCACCAGACCTGCGCAGGTGAGTCGACTGGTGGGAGTTAGGGACTTCGGTTAGAAGAACCACATTAAACAAGTCACTGCCCCTGCACTGCCTTTTGAAATTCTGTGTCCAGCTCTTTTATGCCATCATTTCTTCCACTGCTTTAGCAATGCCCAAAAGCAAGTTTTGAGCTCTTCTAGCATCCAATTTGATCTTTTTCACTTTCTTGTCCTTTTAATGTCCTTCTGGTTCCTAAGGAGCCCTGGTGGTGTAGCAGTTATGTGTTGGGCTGCGATGCGTGCGGTCAGCAGTTCAAAACAGCAACAGCTCCGAGGGAGAAAGGCTGGGCTCTCTACTCCTGTAAACAGTCATAGTCTCGGAAACTCGGAGTCAGCATGGACTCAATGGCAGGGAGTGGACTTTTCTGATCTCTAGCAACCCTACATCGGGTTTCTGACACTGTGAATCTTTAGAGGACCACAGGGCCTCGGGCTCGCCCTTGGAGGGACTGAACTGACAGCTTTGAGCTTAGCAGATCCAAACCACC